CCAGAAAAAGACGTCTTTAAAACGTCCAATTCACAGACTCTCACGGTATATGAGTTTAAATTAATATAAGTAGGTAGGTATTTATTAATTTCAAAATTGGAATTATTGATTTGAATATGGACATGAATGATGTCAAGAAATATATTATATGTATATCAGCTGTATCAATATAATATATTTCATTTTATTATTAATATTATAAATTTGAAATATTGATGATCTCAACTGATTTGTACCTACTTATATAGTTATGTTTATATTACTTCAATCACATAATACATACATATACAGTTCGAACATTCTTAAATCCACACTGAAGTATTCATACAAGCCGCGCTTTTATAATGAGATTTGATTGAATCACCGAATATGTAAAGCAACCGTAGAACGCATGCGTGCTCAGCGTTGCCAGACTTACTATTTTAGCAATAGATCTACTGTTTTTGTCTCCGTTCCATTGTTCAACTATTCAAGGCAATGGTCTGATTGGTCATGTTTTGATATGACGTAACTACCTAATATGCAACAATGAAAAATGAATGGGACATCACAGTAAGAAGATCTATGATAAAAATATACTGCAACTATCATATTCAGTCTGATTAGTAAAAATTAGCTCTTATTTTCAATCTGTTTGCGGTTTTTACAAATTTCATATTTTATTTCATTATTTTTTGTTATTCTTCGTTCGATTTTTATTAGGTATAATAGAGACCGAACATGTTTTTTTTTTTTTCGTTTATCATATAGGTGACTATGTTCTTTCATTTATAATAGCAAATTATGATGATAATCAAGATCTTCTGTTCAGTTTTGATAATCTACTGTTTTTTTCTCACCCATCTACTGCTCCGACAAATTTTCATCCGGCAACACTGTGCGTGTTACGTGAAACGAAATGGGAAGATGGCGTTCGTCAGTTGACCACTGCCGAGTGCCGATTAAACTGTGATTCAGGTCCAAGGACATTCTGAACTTTTCGGGTTATTTGACTGAAAAAGCAGTGAATAAGTGAATTCTTCGCGGATATCATCTTTCAACTGGTGAACTTCGAACTCGACTTCTATTGAGATGTTTTGTGCTAACAGCAGCATGAAGGCAAGTATGGCTATCGACGCTATCGTTTTATTTTCATTCACTTGAAGGTGCTTGAGTAAGAACATCGAATCTGGAGTTGAAAACATTAGATACCTTTCTATATAATTTGATTTCATGCAAAGCTCTACCTAATCCTATTTCCATCATCTACAAAAGTTTATATTTTTGTATATAGTTGAAACATAATATATTTCGTGCAAGGTTCAAAGAGATTATACATAGGTACCTACCTAAGAATCAGTTTATGTTTGCAATAAGTTCTCAATGGAATAAAAATAATGAAGTATACTGACTACTAAACGTTGAAAGTGGGTGTGTGTTTATGGTTCATGGTATTCACAAAAGATGTTATTGAATATTATTATTATTTACAGATCCAGTGAAGAAGACAACAGCAGAAGGCTGCCAATCAGAAAAAGACATCATCGCGCCTGCGTAACTGGATGAATCACGCTACGTTTTTAGTGGTGCAGCTGCTGAAATACGATATGGAAGAGTGAAATTGAAACATAACTACCTAAATCTCTGTTCATATTATTGTTTGCGAATAAATGTTTACTAATATTCAAGTATTTCACTCTTCATGGGTCAGAAAATGAATAATCAATATTATCTGAATGTCCTCAATACGTCCATTTTTCATACCAAAAAGGTCCTAGTCTGGACCTAAACTGGACGTCCCCAAAACATCCTGATTATTAACAATGGACGTCCCCAAAACGTCCATAAGACGTCCGTCGTCCGGAAATGGACGTCCCCAAAACGTCCTGAATGTCCAGAGTGGACGTTTTTAAAACGTCCATAAGACGTATTTGTGCTGATTGGGACTCGATGCCACGGCGATTAAATGCTGTTATTCAAGCTCGGGGAGGGCATACTCGGTATTGAATACATCTAGGAGATCTACTTTCCGTTTGTTTTTTGTAATTAAGGTTTTTTTGTGTGGGTGTATCTACGTTCTGATTATTGTTAATAAAACTTGAATAACTTCTATTACTTTCTTAAAACCCTCGTATCTTTCCTAAAAAATGAGATATCGACGTGAATAAAGAACTATTGTGATCAGAAAAGAATACTCTTCAATCCAAGACATAATGAAGAGGAGTTCAATCACTCACTTCAGCCACAGGGCGTTAAGAAGTTATGGGTAAATGAGTAACTCTTGTTTTTCCCTGTATAATGACCATGCTATCAGCTTTTTTGGGAATTCATATTCAGGTTAACATTTCGGAACATGAATCTACGATTTGATCAAAATTTCACCAAAATCCGACAAGAACTAAAGAAGTTACAGGGCGAACAACTTGACTAAATTTTTTGGTGCCGGTTTTTTTTGCCGGTGAGTGTATATAGGTTATTATAATAATAATAATCAATTGTCGAAATATTGCTCAGTGGATACTGAAATGTTTCAGTAGATCAATATGCAAATCAGGAGATCTACTGAACATTCTGTTTGCGGACGAAAAGTTAGTGTCTGCGGACGAAAAGTTAGTGTCTGCGGACGAAAAGTACTTGCCTTCGGAAATAGTCGGTTCTTCGTTCAGAAATTAGAACGTAAAATATGTTTATGCACGACCGGGCGTAAAGTAGTATTTTACCGCCCGGGTTTGCGGGCGTAAAGTGGCACTTTAGCGCCCGCGGACTACTTTACCGCCCGGCGGGCGATAAAGTCATTGAGCAGGTGGTAAAGCTAATGTCACTTTCGATAGAAATCTAGATTCCAATGGTTGCAATTAATGCAGAATGATTGGAAAAATAGATCTGAATTATACAGGAGTGATCATTTGAATATTGAAGTTTTCTTTATATTTCTGTAATGCAAAATTATATGATCAAACCCAAAACTTCATTAACAATAATAAAACGAATCAATTAACATAAATAACGAGTTATAACTTAATATTTATAATACAATCAGAACAGTTAGTTATGGATATATTTGGATTTGTTGTCTTCTGTATAATTACACAAATTGACAGTTAATATGGCTACTGGCCTATTAATTCCTATTTCGAAAAATTGACTGAGTTGCCATGGTAACGTTGATTCCATACTTCTTGATTAATTGTATTTGCGATATGGATACAATACAGTCTCACTGCAACCGTGATGTATTTTTATTGTGCTTGAGGGGTGAAGAGATACCTACATGAGATATCAAATATATACAGGTCGTGCATAATATGTTGTATGTATTTCGGGCGTAACAAGCTTTTATGGACCTAGGCGTGTGAATATAGCCCTCGCTATCGCTCGGTCTATTACTTACACGCTGCGGTCCAGAAAAGCCTATTTCACGCCTTTGATACATAAATAACTATTATTCACAACCATATATGTTATGTTGTCATTACTGACATCATTGAAGGTTGGGAAGTGTCACATTACACACCTCTACTTCCCGCCCTCACTTCTCTCCCCAATCTATGTAATATTTTAGGTATGTTCAGAACGAAACGGAGATTTATTAATTTTGGTAGAAATATAATGGTTGTGAAACAAACCTCGGTAGGAAGTTACATTCCTGTCTCGAGATGCTTTGCGTCTCGGTTAACTAACTAATTTCACGACAGGAATGAATCACTTCCCACCTCGGTGGTCGACAAAATAGTTATTTATGTAATAAGGATCATAAAGACGATCATTATGGTACAAGTCGTGAATGTTATCGGGCGAGGCGTAGCCGAGTCCGATAACACGGCGTGTGCCATAATGATTGTTTATGATTCGTGTATTACATACAAAATTTTATCTGATGGCATTTATATCAATACATTTTTGAAAAATTGAAAACTGCATTTTCGACATGTCACAATGGCAACTATTTTTAAAGGAGTAAGTATTGTGTAGTTTCAAATATTAGTAGGTGAGTGAGCTGTGCTTTGCCATTATATTAATATTACAAATTGTAGTAATTGTTCTTTTACCATTTATAATAAATAGTTTTGTACATAGTTATGCATTTTGAATAAACTTTTTTGATCAAACCATTACATGTTTTCCTTATAGAATTTCATTATAGTACTTAGTACCATAATGAGCTTCCTTATGTCATCAAAATTGAGTGACATAACGTTGTCATTATGACATGCCATCAGATAAAAATGTTTTATAGAAAAAAAAGTTGGATGTTGCCTTCAAACAAGCGCCTACATAATTTTGATACTGAATCAGGGAACAAGCTTTATGATCCAAAACACTAGAATAATGTTTAGAAAAGCTCGAATAGGTTTGTGTGACAAGAACTAAAAACAAAATAGATCAGCTGGCTCTTCATAAACTACCAGCGAAAGATATATTTCCCGAAAATGCGTTTTTTTTCCTTGGGACCTTGTAGAATGGGCGTGTACACCTTGGCAGAACTTTTAACTCAAACCATGTTTATAATGATCCTTTCATACATAAATAATGATTGACGACATAATTCGATCGAAAAATTTACTGGAATGTTCAATTTTTAGACATAAATAATAGTACCATCTGAAAACGGACCCTCTTATGACGTAGAAACCTCATCTCGCCATAGTTAAAAGAAAATACCAAACGCTGGACGGAGACTGAGGCAACTGATATATTAATTCTTTCAACTGTGATCTCGCGCTAATTCACTCGTCAGAAATCATGTATCATTCATCTCTGTCTGGAATAGTCCTGTTTCAGTATTAGGGTTTTGACGTCACATCATCGCCTCGTTTTCAGAGGTCCGAAAAATCGGGGATTTCAATAATTTTTTATAAAACGTAGGGAGCTCACAGCGATAAACGGTTTGCTGTGGTGAGCTAGTTTGGGTGAGTTCTATCAAATTATAAAATAAATTTTTTTTGTGATATAAGCCCATTTAGGATAGTAAATAGCAACATACGTTTCTTCGGCTTCCAGGGTATTCAAGAGTTGCATACCGGTCTCCAGGACCAAGGTATCACCATCGAAGGCGGTAAAATGAACTTCAGGATTGTCGATTTCGGTGATGTCATCGTCTTCTTCCACCTTCATCCTTACGAGGCTGAAATTACAGTTTTATATGTGATGTCGAAAAAACATCAGATATTTTCATATCTACCAAAATTCGTGAACCATTCCTGTTTTCAATAATTCAGGTTTGGTAAAATATCTCACCGTTTCGACGACTGGGGAAGTTTCCTTCAGATCAATTTCCATGAAATAACTTCGGGACTCCTCAGTTTTAGAAGTAGAAGTAGTTTATTATCCTTTTGACATTTAACATGTACAGGAGATAGTCAATCAATTTATGTTAGTACAAGGTGATCAGTTACCAAGAGAAATTGATGGAAATTATTTTCGAGTTTGTCAAACGTCCGCTAGAGGGCGTATCAATCAACACCAAGTAGAAAAATAGAATTTTTATAGAATTTTGTCTCATGAAAGTATATCGATGATATCATTTTCATATTTACTGACCATTTCCCTACATTTTTTGTCTGAAACGTTTTGTTCTAGCTATCAAAATAAAGCGGTGGGGGAAGTTCTATTGGTTTTTCAAACAAACCAAGATTTGTCCCGTTTATTTCGACCGATTTCAGCAAACTTAGGCTCATATGAAAGAGCATATTTTGCCCTACAAAACGCTTATTTTGTTTTGAATTTTTGACTCTTGCTATCGCCGCTAGATAGCGTTAACTGAAATGTCAGCAAATTTTTTAGTTTTTTTTCAAGAAAAACAAATGTAATGGTCAATGAAAATTCGTTTATATTATGAAACGACTCATCTGCTAGAAATAGTTTAAGTCTCCTTTGAAAGAGTTTTAGGGAGTCACAAGACATTATCTCTTTTGGTAGAGTATTAAACAATTTTGGGCCAAATATATCTGGAGAACATGAAGAAATATTCAGCCTCGTCTTTTTTATTCTGATGTCACTTTTATGTCTCGTATTATGTTCGTGTACATCCTTGTTGAGCATAAATTTATGTTTGTTCTGGAAAACGTATACACATAATTCAAATATACCGGGTGTCCCAGTATACCTGTTTCAATGAATTATCTCAGCAGTTAAAAAAAAAATTCGAAAATTTCATGATCTTCAATTCGTTTAAGGAAGCTTCAACTGAGGAAAACAAAAATTGAAAGTAACTTCCGGTTTGACCGGAAGTGACTCTAACTTTTTTATTTCAAATAGCACCCTGTATATTTTTTGCAATTTTTGATTTCTACTCAAACTTACCGTTCCAACGATGTATCACACTTCGTATTTTAAATTTGATTTGATGGAGAAAACGACAATTGGAATTTCAAATTGAACGAATTGCAGTAGGCTACGATATTTTTGTAGTCTTGATTTTGACTTCAATTATAATTTCGAATTATCAGATTTGTAGTAGATATTGTTATTTTCGAATTTTCATCTTTTGAAATAGCTGAGATAATCTATTGGAACAGGTATACTGGGACACCTGGTATACAGGGTGGGCCACCAGTAACGCCTTGGTCTCTAGAAGGCTAACCACTTATCTTCTTGGAATTCTTCCTCTCTAGGAAGTTGCATGTCAACATAGGCTACCATTTGAAATTATTTTGAAACATACAGGATGTCCCCAAAAATCACAAAACACTGAAGTTGAACTTTTTTCAATCGAACACCCTATATATTATTTCATTTTGAGATTCTCCCTGGTGAGCTGATTTCAACGACCCATCATACTTGGGGTCTAGCAGTTATAATTACTGAGATATAGGGTGTGAGAAATCGAGATTTTCCAAGTTCAAGAATTTTTTGTGTCTAAACCATTCATAATTGGTCAAAACGGCTCACATGTCCCTATCTCAACTTTTGATCAACTATCTACTGACATTTAATTGAAACAAATACAGGGTGGTGCAGAATTCAGAATCATGATCACCCGGTATATGTCCCAATTAAATATCAGTAGATAGTTAATCAAAAGTTGAGATAGGGACATGTGAGCCGTTTTGACCAATTATGAATAGTTTCGACACAAAAAATTCTTGAACTTGGAAAATCTCGATTTTTCACACCCTATATTTCAGTAATTATAACTGCTAGACCCCAAGTATGATGGATTGTTGAAATCAGCTCATGAGGGAGAATCTCAAAATGAAATAATATATAGGGTGTTCGATAGAAAAAAGTTTAACTTCAGTGTTTCATGGTTTTTGGGGACACCCTGTATGTCTCGAAATAATTTTAAATGGTAGCCTATGTTGACATGCAACTTCCTAGAGAGGAAGAATTCCAAGAAGATAAGTGGTTAGCCTTCTAGAGACCGAGGCGTTACTGGTGGCCCACCCTGTATAAACAAGGAAGGAACTGGCAGTACATTGAACTCTTCAAATATACTTCTGCATGAACCCATCCGCGGCATTTCGAAAATACACCTGATAATTCGTTTCTGAACAATAAAAACATTACGTGCATGAGATCATTTAGGTACCCCAAAAACAAATGCCATATTTTAGCCGTGATTCAATTTGTGCATAATACAAATTTAAGAGCTGATGCGTATCCGAAACAGTACGTAGGTTAGCAAACATATATGTAAATAAATACAAAAGCTCAAAGTCATTTCCACACAATGTTCATAAAATGAACAACAATGATAGATTTCGGGAGAAAAACAACTACTTTTCTGGCTAATGCCACGCAGAACATTGAATTACATCCTCCTGAAATCTATGCATCGACTCGTATAAACGAATACTGATACAAGTGATTCTTTTCTGAATGCCTATTGATTTCGTTTTAGCCAGGCCACGCTAGACAACCACAGACCGGTTTCAAGCTCTTTGACTCTCATCAGTGCTGTGTAGTCTCCAGCCAGCAGTCCAAACACCGCCGACTCAGCGAACCCTAGCCAAACAAAAATCAAGTCGCCATTATATACCCTGGGTATGTTCTGTGAATCAACTTGGTTATTTCGGTTAGTAGTTTTCAGTTCCGTAAATATGCAATGTTCGGTTGGTACCTGAGGAACAAGTTATTTACTGAAAAAGCGGTAAATTCACAGTCACTCTGGTGAAATCGGTAAGTTTGAGTTGACGTCCTCCGATTCACTGATTACAACAAAAAACAATATTTCCATATTAATTGTTGCGTTTAGTTCCGATGGATTCGTTTACTGAGGTAAATAAATAATATGCGATATTTTTTCAGTGCTTACTCTGCACAAGAATTAGGGACTTTTGGGTGCTTTAATTGAAAATTAAATACTGGAAGAGCATGAATGTTCAATAAACGATCAAGACTATAGTTTGACAAATAACCACTGTAAAAAAATTGTTGGTATCGGCCCTGAAAGCATCGGTAACTTCGGTTGATTAACGGAACATATTCTCTGTGTAAATGTGCATGACTTTTCAGAAAATACGTCATAGAAATGGTGGAGGAACCAAGGTCCTCTTCCATTTATATTTTTCTGAAGTGAAAGGACCCCGCACCGCATCAATGGGAAATTGGCTTTCGGTGAATTTACTCGAATTTTTGATATATTGTAGAACTCGTGGTGCTGATCAAATGTCTCCATTGCACCAACGCTCTAAAATCAACAGTTAAGATTATATAGGGCGATAAAGTTGACTTTTCCAGAATTTTAGATAGTAATTGTGAAGACACCTTCCATAATTTCGAAACCAAATCAACTGTGCATTGATTGTTCGAATGACCGATACGAATCTACTATAAAGTATAATGATTCCTGCACGTACCAACAATATACAGGGTTGGTCGGAAAATGGCGATTAATTCAGTGATTTTCGGAAAAGTGTGCGGTGGAATCTCATTTAAATTCTGTAGTATACAAATATCATCCCCATTTCGTGATATTAGCATCTCCTAATCAGACATATTATATACAAGATGTTTTATTTTTGATAAAGTCACATCCATGTTAGGTAACTATTATTGGCATCCTCATTATGACTTACAACTTGAACAACCTATTGGGAATCTCGTTCATTCCATGATGAATGTTCACCCTGCAAATACTTGAAATATACGGCGTGGACGAAAAATCAATGGTCTTTGCTAATAATTTCTCAAGAGTAGTATGATGTGCAGATTCTTTTGGCCCATTTTATTGACCCTGTTTCATAACGACATTATATTCAATGAAAATAATTTGAACCATTCGATGTAGTATATTTTTGATAATATGCAGGTATCATAGGTTTTTCAGGTGATAGTGAAACAATCAACAATAGGAAACAAGAACAATGAATATACAGTTATTATGGATAACAAAATATTCTGATATTCAATCACAACAAAAGTTCTGTACCTTACATAGTATTTTACTTCCGTGTTATGACAAGCGATTATATTTCCTCGATCACTAATTCATAAAACGAATTCGTTTCACGAAATGAAAAAGTTGAATTTATTCAACTTCTTGAACAGTCTCCTGAATACAACTCGTCATACTCAATTCTAGAATACCTCAACCCTCAAACACTGCTGAAGTAAAGTAAACACAACAGTTAGAACAAAATTAAAGTAGTAAACAATATATTATGAATGACTAATTTCATGTATTCGTTGTTTCATTAGGTGTCATCATGTCAATGTCTTCCGGCATTGAATGCGATCCACAATTTATTGTTATTTCTTGGAATTACGGAAGCTTGAGTGAATTCTCATTCGTGAAAATCCATGAGCGTTCGTATTTGAATTGAAATTGATTTTCATCGTGATATCATATACATCTTTCATATGAGATCCTGTCAATTTCACCTGGTAGGTTTTCTGCTTCTATATCGTGGCTTATACTAAATTGACTCTGATAGCCTTTTCTAACATCAAATTGGCTAATTATACATTGGCGTCTCTTGAGTCAAACAGACATACATACAAAAATACATATAAAGATGAACCCAACTATCTGAAATACTCGGAAATACATACCTAATAACTACAACAATACTATCTGGTTGGTTTATAAGGTAGTATGAAAATCAACACGATGGCATAGTTATTATATTTGAAAAGTACTCCTGACTTTATAGCCGAGTTCATAACGTACT